GGGGGATCAGAGTGTGACCTCATAAATGACTTCCCTAAACCTGCTGGTCTGGAAGTCCAACAGTTCATCTAAACAAAAGGCACTTAGCCTAAAACAGATACAGCCACGTTTATCCTGCCATAAAACAATAAAACAGGGTATGACCTCTTCTCATGCTCCCAGGATGTAGGTGTGCATTCCAGTGTGGAATACACACCAAGCCTTTGCAGCCTGCTAAAGATCACACATCCTATCACTACCCAATTGATTATACACCTCTAAGCATATATGGTTAAATATTTCTAAGCATAAATGACAATCAACAATACAAAACCTAACACACAGCCTCTTCAATGGGGTGTCACAGGGTCCCCAGGAAAAAACATTGTAAATGTAAAATAATAAAATAAATATTCTTCTGTAGCAATAACAAAGTATAACATAAATTATTCTGTAGCAATAACACAAGAATATCCAGTAATGTCCCTGCCTACAATTAAACACATTCACTTACTGAAAATCACCTGCTGTGGCAAACGGCTGCAAGCCTTTGACCACAAAGGTCTCTGCTCGGTGACGTTCGTCTATCCTGCCTGAAAGGAGACGCTACCGGCAGACTGCAGCGAGAGCTGCCAGCATCTGAGCCAGACTCTGTCTGTCTCATCATGGTCACTAAATGCACAGTGATGGTTTTGTAATAAGACAGATCGCACTAACATAATATGCACTGTTAGTTGATTATTTACCTGCCGCATTAACGGGAGAGGACGTGCAAACGTTAGCGCTGCTGCTGGGTTGAGATTCACGAGTTGAGCGGAATTAAAAACACGACATTCATTTAAGGTCATCGTGTGTTTTGTGAGCAAATGCTTTTGCACATTCGCAGTGTTTCCTCCCTTAAATGAAATATCTGCTTTGCAAGTATTGCAAGTTGCCCTGTTGTCATCCGTTCTCGTAAAGTATGACCAAATTTTTGAGCGTTTGAGCCGCCGTGTTTCCTGCCAGGTAAATGACGCTCCGCAACGTGTTGACGTCATTCGGGGCGACTGGAATCGATAAGGGAATCGTTTGCAAAAATGACAAACAATCCCAAGGAACTGAAACAGTGGGAACCGGTTCTCAACAAGAACCGGGTTTCGATACCCATCCCTAGAGGAGGTAGACTGGCCTTCTTCAGTTTCCTAAGAAAGTGAAGACGTTGTTGGGCTTTCTTCATGATGGCGGTGGTGTTCAGGTTCCAGGAGAGGTCAGCTGATATGTGCACTCCCAGGAACTTCACACTGTTGACCATCTCAGCAGCAGACCCGTTGATGTGCAGTGGGGTGTGGATCATTGAGCTCTTCCTGAAGTTAGCAACCATCTCTTTAGTCTTCTGAGCATTTAGAGACAGGTTGTTATTCTGATACCAGTCCACCAGGTGTTGTACCTCCTCTCTGTATTCAGACTCATCGTTGTTGATGAGACCCACCACTGTTGTGTCATCTGCAAACTTGATAATGTGATTTGAGCTGTACTGTGCAGTACAGGCATGTGTTAGCAGGGTGAACAGCAGTGCACTAAGCACACAGCCCTGTGGCGATCCTCTTCTCAGTCTTCTGCACTAAGGGACACCCTTCGAACATGGTATTTGTTATGGACAAACTGTTTGCACAGAAATCCAACAACAAAACACTGCTCTGAAGTCTTCCAGTAGGACAATAGAGTCCCCAGGTGGAGCACTCAGGGACACCAATAAGGCTAAACCATCATTTGTCGCATAAGCACAGACAACAGTCAGGACCCGTTCCCCAACCCAAAGGCACAGGGAAGAAATCCTCTCATCCACTGGGAGAAACCCCAACATACATACCTGGTCCCTCACCAGGCAAAGAAGGACTAAGTGGGACAAATAAGTCCCACTCAATAAATTTATAATGATAATAAATTTTATTTATGAAGCACCTTTCAAATGGTCTGCATTTGTATAGCGCTTTTCTAGTCCCTAAGGACCCCAAAGCGCTTCACACTACATTCAGTCATTCACACACACATTCACACACTGGTGATGGCAGCTACATTGTAGCCACAGCTGCCCTGGGGCGCACTGACAGAGGCGAGGCTGCCGGACACTGGCGCCACCGGGCCCTCTGACCACCACCAGTAGGCAAACACGGGGTTAGTATCTTGCCCAAGGATATTTGGCATGCAGCCAGGAGGCAGCCTGGGATCGAACCACCGACCTTCTGATTAGTGGCTGACCTGCTCTGCCACCTGAGCTACAGCCACCCGACAAGACACCCAAGGAAAATTAACAATAGAATAAAACACATAATAGAACAAAGACAAAATGAAGAACAATAGAACAAAAGCACAAGATAAAATTAACAAACATTGGGTTCACAGTGAACTTGCAGATTTGAACAGATGGGTTTTGAGTTGAGATTTAAACTGGAGGAGAGAAGCAATGTTTCTTATACGTGGGGTCAGAGAGTTCCACCGCCTGAGAGCAGAGCAGCTCTGGTGATGAGGCGGAAGGAAGGCACAGTAAGCTGGATAGAAGAAGAAGATTGAAGTGAGCGGGCAGAAAAGGTAGTGCATAACAGGTCAGAAAGGTAAGGAGGTGCGAGGTTATGAATGGCCTTGAAGGTGAGCAGAAGAAGTTTGTACATTATCCAGAATTTCACTGTGAGCCAGTGAAGTTCCTGAAGAACAGGTGATGTGCTGGTAGGAGGGGTTCTGGTGAGAATGCGAGCAGCAGAGTTCTGAACCAGTTGAAGCTGATGGAGGGATTTTTGGGGGAGACCATGAAAGAGAGAATTACAACAGTCAAGGCAGGAGGACAAGAATGGACATAGGCTGTCTCCCAATTCAGGGTCTGCAGCCTTAAAGTACGCATTTCAAGGCCGATTACGTCACAGCGGCGCGCCGAAGGCTGTCCCAATTCAAAGGCTGCTCGAAATGCGGCCCTGAAATGCCTCCTTCATTTCCCTGAATTTTAAGGCTGTGGCAGAGTAGACTTCGTGGTCCCATATATCCCACAATTCATAGCGCGGCAGTCGGTGTGGAGAATTCTGCCGCAGACGGCAGAAGCGGAGCGGCCGAAGAGTAAACTGTGAAAAGTAAGTACTGAATATTATGTCACTTATTTATGTGCAAATGTTTAATAACGAAGAACATTAAACATTACTGTTGCCCACATGTCGGCAAAGTCATGTGACATTAGTGACTAACTTGGTTTTAAAGCCTTTACTTTAAAATATACGCCGTTCAATAGCTGAGCTTAATCTTACAGAGAATGATCAAAGCTCATGTAGAAACAAACAAATGAATAAAAGATTTTCTCCTTCATTTCTGTCAAACACAGCTGTACGACACATTTCCAGCTGTTAGTATCATGGTTGCTAGGAAACCTGGGCAGCGCAACCGAGGCTTTTTTAAAAAAAACTTTATTGACAAACAACAGTATCAGCGCAACGGAGGCTAGACCGCCCATTTCACAAGCCTCGCACTTCCGGCCTTAGCGGTCTTTGAGTACACGGCCCTTGAGGATCGTTGAGGCTGCGTACTTTAAGGCTGCAGACCCTGAATTGGGAGACAGCCATAGACTGGGTGGAAAGAGAAGGACGTAACCTGTTACTGTTGTGTAGATGGAAACAGGCAGAACGGGTGAGATTACTGATGGGAGAGTTAAAGGATAGTGAACTGTCTAGGATGACACCAAGGCTCTTAACCTGAGGAGAAGGGAAAACTGGAGTTATCGATAGTGAGAGAGAAATGATTAGCCTTCACTAGGTTGGATTCAGTGCCAATAAGGAGGATTTCAGTTTTATCCTCATTGAGCTTAAGAAAATTAGAGCTGAACCAGGATTTTAGTTCAGATAGGCATTCTGTAGGGAAAGAAGGTGGGAGGGAGGAATCAGGCCTGATTCACCTCAGCAAAAAAGTGAAGATCAAATTTGTGGAAAATGGTACCTAGAGGGAGGATGTAAATTATGAAGAGAAGAGGGCCTAAGACTGAGGCTTGGGGTACACCAGAAGTGACCAGGAATAGATGAGAGCGGAATGATTTCAGCTGAATAAACTGGGACAAGGAGATATGATTGGAAACAGGCTAGGGGTGTGTCAGAAATGCCGAGAGAGAAAAGTCTGTTTAGAAGGATGGAGTGAGAGATGGTGTCGAAGGCTGAGCTCAGATCCAAAAGGACGAGAATGTTGAGAAGACCAGAGTCAGCTCCGAGAGGAAGATCATTAGTAACTTCACGTAAAGCAGTTTCTGTACTGTGACATGAACGAAAACCAGAAATCTCTTGTAAATGTTATTATTAAGCAGGTGTGAATGAAGTTGAGCTGCAACCGTTTTTTCAAGTGTTTTAGAAATGAAAGTTAGGTTAGAAATCAGACGGAGGTTGTTAAAGGGCTAATTTGGACTAATCAGGACTAATTTGTCATGGGAGACCATACCAGGGGCCAAAAGCCCCTTGACAACATAGCCCCTAGGATCCTTGGGACACACAAACCCCTCTGTGACTTCTTTACACCAACAGGAAGTTTCACTACACCCACGGCACCCCAGCTCCACTTGTGCCCATGTTGTTCTCTCCAGGTATCTGTCTGCTCGTCAGTGTTCTCACCCATTTGGCTGCTGTGTGCTTCATTTTACATTTTGAGTCCTTGTCTTTTCGTTTGTTTTTCTCTTCATTAGATTAACTAGATTTTCACAACTGACTTTTGTAAAGTTTCTTTATTCTTTCCCAAATTTTAAAGAAACCTCAACTCTCTGTTGTATTAATTCATTTTTTAATATCTGAAGATGTCGTCTTGTTGGATCCTGCGGTTTGTGTGATTTTTCTGAAGTTTATACAGATGCATGTTTGCTTTTTCAGAGGTTATATTCATGAAATCTTTATTTAAAACTTTTTTAAATCACAAAGCAACACTCTGACTTCAGGAATGTCTTTGATTGGCTGGTGTACTTTCTGCTGGCTGCATCGTTCAGTGTCCATGTGGCCGATGTGATTGGACCGTCCACCATTCTTAACACCATGAGTTTGCGTATGTTCTCCATCACCATTGTCTTCCTGTGGTTGCGACTCATGAAACACGTCAGAGGCTTCAGGTACTGAAAAGCTACAGTCTACTGCAGAACCGCATGGCTATTGCACAGATAAAGTTTAGTGTGTACTTGCAGGCTGATGGGGCCGTTCATCGTCATGTTGGGGAAGATTGTTGGGGATGTGATGCGTTTCCTGTTCCTCTACGCGGAGATCTTCATCCCGTATGCCTGCAGCTTCTGGATCATGTTCGGAGGTCTGTGTGTGGGAGTAGGTTGGTGTGTTGGTAGTTGATGACATCATGATAACAGTAAGTTAACCCTGCCCCCAGGGATAGCTTCAGTTCCCAGCATGCAGTCTGTCCTGGGCCTGCTGTACAGTCTGTATCGGATCACTCTGGTGGACGAGTACGAGTACGCTGCCATGGTGGCTGTGGATGATGTCATGGCTCCTGTGCTGTGTGGGACGTTTCTGGCAGCGTCTTCAATCCTGTGTGTTAACCTGCTGATTGCTCTGCTGACTGATACCTTCCAGAGGTCAGAGGTCACACCTGCATTTGATAAAACTTTATGTTGGGGGCAGAAACTGGGACTGCTGCACCAACAAGCTGAAGTCAATAATCATTTCAGCTTGTTATAAACAGCCGCTGTGAGAGTAGCAGGGGCGGATCTACGGGGGTGGCATGATCCTAGAGCCACCCTAGTTTGCTTAGCAAAATGCTGTTTATTTAAAATAATAAGCTAGCATTTGGACTTTGAGCCTGGCTGCAATTAACACTCAATATAAATTCTAAAACTAAATATATTGCATAGTGTTACCTCCCCTCCTCCACACACACACACACACACACACACACACACACACACACACACACACACACACACACACACACCACTAAAAAGTGGTTTAGCCCATAGCACGGACTGGCTTTATTTCTTGTTGTCAGTAGCAACCGATGCTGACAATTGTCCCACACAATCATTTTGAATCAATACGTGGACATTTTCAGATTTCAGCACAGGCGGTTGGTTGTTACACTCTGGAAATGGAATAAATATGAGTGTTATTAACCCGCTGGGGTCGACACGCGCCGCACCCCCGAATCACGTGACCGATTTAAGCGGACATAGCTACGAGCTGCAGACATGCTGAGTCTCCATTTCAGCTTGTGTTCAAGACTTCAAACTATATGCCAGTTTTCCATTTTATTTTATTTTATTTATTTATTTATTTATTTTTAACTTTTATTTAACCAGGAAGATCCCATTGAGAGTTAAAAAATCTTTTTCAAGGGAGACCTGGCCAAGATTGGCTGCAGCAAGTGTCTCACAGTTACAGAAATTACTCAATCAAACACATGCAGCAACAACACACATGCAATACAACTTTCTAAATACTATCTTACGTTTTGTGCGGGAAGAAATAGTGAAAACCACATTTTCTAAGGACAGTGCTTGGATCATCATGTGTGCACCACCAGCTGACAGCTGCTATGAGGTAAACATGCTGCTGTGCATTTTGGACACACATCTACACTTTGGTCTCATCTGTCTGAAGGACATTGTTCCAGAAGTCTTTGTGTTTCTTGATAATGTAACTGCTGATAGAAGCAGCAGGATGATCTGTGAGGTGTACACGTCAACACTCTCTGCTCACATTCAGACTAATGACTAATGAGCCAAAGCAACAACGCCACATTTTAGGAAGATACATTTGATTTCTCTGCTTTATGTCTCAGTAAAATCCACTAATTCCAAACATTCTGTCGCCTCATTTCATGTTAAAAATGTCACAATGCCCCATTCATTCTTAAGAGGATTATGTACAAAAATATATTTAAAAAAATCACATCTTGACTTTATTTAAAATGAGAGAACAAGTGTGTGTGTCCATGTGTTTTAGGGTTCACGATAACTCACAGGCCAATGCTATGATGCAGCAGGCCGCTGTCATCCTGCAGGTGGAGGAATCCATGCCCCTCCTGCGTCACTTCTACGACAACCAGTACATCTCCAGCCACTGCTCGCCATTGGTCGAACCCTCTGATGATGGCATCACAACAAACTTGCATTACCATGATGAGATGGGACGAATTACAGTACAGATCAAAGTGCGTTTCTGAAGAACAAATTCTGATCTAAAGTCCTGTGCTTCAGGTTCTCATGGTATCTGTGTGTCTGCAGGAGGTTCTAGACCAGTTCTTGGTCCTGCAGCGGGAGGCGGAGACCACAGAAGGTCCACGGTGAGATTAGCAGAACTCCATCACTACTGACACACAATTCTTCTTCATTCAGCTTCTCTAATGTGGATTCTCATTCAGAGTCCAGATGAACCAGGACCAGCAGAACCAGCAGGAGACCCAGAGGAATAAGTGCCAGCAGAGCCAGGATCTTCAAGAGGACCATGATAAACAGAATCAGAACCAGGACAACAAAGACAAATGTCGCCAAATCCTACAGAGGCAGACCCAGGAGCTTCAGGCCTTGCGAGCAGAGCTGAAGGAGCTCCAGACTCTGGTCTTGCAGCTGGTTAAAACCAAGACCAACTCTGTATAAGAGCTGTGGGTTAGACTGGGAGGAATGTCAGAACCATTGTTTCATGTTTCTGTTTCTCCAGAATCTCCTCTGGTCCAGGACTTCCTGTTTAATTGTTATTTACAAATTCTCATAAATGAAAATACCAGTAAGAAGTTTGCTAAAGGTTCAGTGTCATTCATCTTTAGCTGGTATTTTGGTAGCCATCTTGGAATGAATGTGGACTGTTATTTGAAAATAAAGTCCCCCCCGAAAAAATAACATCACAGCTTCATTAATGGTTCAGTCCAGAGACATTAGCTGTGTCCCAATTCAGAGGCCCCATCCTCCTCAGGACCCGGCCTTCACAGTCTACGTGGGCCGGGTTCTCTGAAGACTGAGAAGGCCGGAAGTGTGAGGCTGTGAAATGTGATGGTCTAGCCTTCAGATCTGCGTCACCGCTGTCTCGGTGGAATTTAATAAACTCAGCCGTCTGCTCCTTGCTATCTAAAATATAACAGGACACTGGCGTAAACTCTCGACCATCTCACACTTCTGTTTAATCAGTTTTCTGTTTGACGTTTATTCAGCTGTGTGAAAACTAGAACTTTAATTTCAGCCAAACTGATTTACTCAGAAACAAATAAAACACTGAAAGAAGCCAAACAATAACATTTTTAAGTTATCTAAGTGACTTATATATCATGTTTAACCTGAGTAGTGAAGACTGCAGGGGATTGAAACAGGGGCGGATCTAGAGAAATCTTCTTAGGGTGGCAAAATCAAAGCCTTTTTTTTTTCAAACACATATGCAGGTGGTTACATATGGTTAAAATTATTCAAATGCAGTAAGTATACACGTTTTTCATATAAACAAAATTACATAACTTAATTATTGTCTGTAACCCACATAATTAAACACTTTAGTTACATAAAACATGTGAGTTTTGATGTTATGTACTGTATAGCCTGTATGATAAATAAATATGTAGCCCAATAAGTATCCAGAAAAGCTACACAACATCGGGCGGTTCATTTACAAACACAGGTCTAACTCCAGTTAGAAAATAATCAAAGTGTTACATGCTTAAATTACACAAAATGTCAGAAATCTGCACTGTCAAGAACAAAAATGTAAACCTAATTCTTCATGATTTGTTGGAGTCACCCTCCGAGGTCCAAAATATAACTGGTCATTTTGGACATTTGTATTTCACCTTCAAATTCTTTCATTTTATTTTTTTCCTGCCTTGCTTGGTATTGTGGAGGTATGTAATAACGACAGGAGAGGTCTCAGTGTCTCACTCCAACTTTATTAACTGACTCTCAGAACTTCACATATAGTGAGCGCCAAAATCTCCACCCCAACACTTCCCTTCAAGTGTGAGTGGAGCCACCTGGTGGTCCGGCACTGTATCATTATTTTCAGCTCAACCTCACGTGTTTGAATTTAGTTGTTTTTTCATTGACATGCTGTGTTAACACAACTGATATGAAATCACACAAAGAACTTAAAATCCTAGAAGTTTGTTTTTTTTACTGCAAAAACCACAGACATGTTGACTAAATTATTTTTATAACTTAAAATGCTAAATAAATAAATAAATAAATAAATAAATAAATAAATAAATAAATAAATTGTACATTTTGAAAACTTATGCACACATTTTGTAAACACATTTGGCCACAACTATTTAAAAATATTACTAAAACTAACACGAGAGAACAATCAGGTTTTGCAATAAGATGCCCCACAAATTATGTGTGCCAGTAAAAAAAAATAAAAATTTGTCCACCACAAGACAGGAGAACAGCACAGGGATAAACATGCAGGCCTGACAGCAGGAGGTGTATCACTCTGCTGGGTTTCTACCTGCACACTACAAAGTGCCTTTGTGAATTCATTAGTGCCCTCACTGACACACAAAACAAATCAACTGTTGCGGAGTATAGCATGGTGGAAAAGAATGGAGAGAATCCCCCACTAAACTTTTGGGTTGGCATTACTTTAGTTTTTTTGTATTAATTGCATGCTTTGGTGTTTTTGTGTGTGTTTGGTGTGAGGTGGGAGTGGAGATTCTACTCTAGTCCAGCTGCCAGTTATTTGGAGTCGAGTACAGGGAGCAGCTGATTGGGAAGGATTGAAGCCCTTCTCTATAAAGGGGAGAGGAAACGGGAAGGGGGGTTGTTGTTTTTTTAGTAGGACACTGGTGCAGCAGGGAAGCCTCTGAGACTCCAGGATGAAGTGTGCACATTTTAAGGGAATGGATTTTTAACCTGGCCTGGTTTTGCTTTTAAAATAATCCAAGGATGTTGGGGGGAGGACTCATTTTAATTAGGATTTGTGTGGCTCTGCTGGGATTAAAAACACTGGATTGGAGACTCTCTGTGCCCATGGAAAGGAAACTGGCCAAGTTTTTTTCCTCTTTATTTATAGAGTTTTTACATGTAAGTTGACATGTCAGGCCCAATAAAGCAAGTACCAACCAATACAAAGACATATCTCAATACAGATTAGCCCATTAAAAATTGGATGATAACAATAAAACAAAAAAAATAAAAATAAAGAAAAAAAAAGGAAAAAGGGAAAAAAAACAAACGATGTCAAATATTAATGCCAGACTCGACCGTGAGAACTTAACATTTCCTCTGAGTCTGAATTTTATTTTCTCCATTTTTAAAAAGAACATAACATCTTCCAGCCAACATGATCGGGCTGGAGGGTGAGGAGCTTTCCAAGACAGCAAAATTCTACGGTGTGCCAGCAGTGAAGTGAAAACGATAACATCCAGCTGCTTACAACTAAGGTTTAGGCTGGCATCTTCAGAAACACCAAAAATGGCAACTAATGGGCATGGTTTGAGCGTAACGCTCAAAACATGAGAAAGCACTTCAAAAAAAATAGTCCAGTATAACTGAAGTGTCGGCCAGGCAAAAAACATATGAGTTAAATCACAGGTCAGGAATGCCGGGGTATATTTTAGCTAGTCTAGATCTTGAGAAGTGTAATCTGTATACAGTCTTAAACTGAATAAGAGAGAGTCTTGCACATGAGGCTAAGGTATGAATTTTGTCAATTACTTTGTCCCAGTAACCTTCCCCAA